GTTTCACTGTCGTGCGCACACCCGAGGGCACGGGTCCGGTGTGGGCCACGCCACAGGTGTGGGAGGCTCGGCACGGAGGTACAGGTCCAGAGTCCCAAGTATCACGGAGGCTGAGGCAGGAGGATCTCAAGTTCAGAGCGAGCCTGAGGCAGTTAGTGACGCCTCATGTCGAAATGAAAAATGAAGAAAAGAGCTGGAGATGGACCTCCGTGCAAAAGTGCTCGCCCAACACGCAAAAGGCCTTGGGTTCCATCTGTAGTACGGAATTTGAGAGGGGAGGTGCAAGAGACGGGGAGAGAGAGAGAGAGAGAGACTCATGGTTCTCATGGCCTCGGGGGAGCTCAGTGCACGGTCGGCTGCCCCAGTGAGCTCGGCGTCTGCTGGTCCAGGATCTGCCTTCTGCTGTGTTCAGGAATTGTTCTCCACGGTTGGTCTCGGGTGTCGACTTGGCTGTCTCCCGGGGTGATTGAAGGTCGTTTCCGGACGTGTCTTGGGGGTCACGGAGACTCATCTTGGGGAACCATGTTGTTTAGTTCCGGCCGCCACGACGTGAGCCCCTCTCCTCCCGTACGCCCATCCACCATCATGTTCCTGCCTGGGAGCAGCCGACCGCGGACTGAACCCCCTGAGACCGTAAAACCTGTCCTCCTTCAGTTTGTGAGTGTCCAGTATTTCGTCCCACGATACGAAGGCCGATGAATCCGTTCTCATGCCCTTCAGGGTCTCTGGGTGTCGAGGGAGGGGTCCCCAGGCTGGGAGGATTCTCACTCGGGCCTAGGACTCCGTGAGCTGCTCGTGTCCAGTCCGGTCTCCCCAGGAGAGCCCCTCCGTGTCTGTCCCAAAGCCGCGGCCACAGCCGTGGAGGCCAGGACGAGGGAGGGTTCACGGGCCTGGACACAGCCCAGGTCTCCGCACCCGGGTTCCCAGTGTGGCGTAGACGGTGAGACCCCGCTCAGCCTCCAGTTCTCTGTGTTTTTTTTTTTGTTGTTGTTGTTGTTGGTGGTGGTGGTGGTGATGTTTCTGGGAAACAGGAACTGTTTGCAGCATTGGAGGATGGAATGGTTTGGTCGTGTTGTCTCCAGGGAAGGGCGTGGAAACCAACTGCACAAACAGCGTCATTGGTACTTGCTGTTTTAAATATTTCAAGTGAGGAAGTGAGTCCTAGTGCTGTTTCCGGCCCCTGGGAAAAGATGAGTCACCCTACAGTTCCTGTATATCCCCTGTCTTGTTTTCCTTCCTTCACTTCCTCATTCCTTTGTTTCTTTTTCTTTTCTTTTCTTTCCTTTTTCTTTTTGTTAGTACCGGGGATCGAACTCAGGACCTTGCGCTTGTGAGGCAGGCGGCGGAACCACTGAGCTAAATCCCCAGCCCTCATTCCTTCCTTCCTATTTATTTATGTATTTATTTTTGAGGTGGGGTCTCACTGTGTGGTCCAGAACTCGCTGTAGCCCAGGATGGCCTCAGCCCCCCCAGGGATCCTCCTGCCTCAGCCTCCCGAGCCCTGGCGTGCACTCGCACCTCTTGCCCATTTCTTTTAAACAGCGGGCTCACAGGAGAGTCTTACAACTTTACCCAGTGGAAGACTCCATCCGCGTCCCTCTGGGGCCCCTCTGGGAAGTCGGAGGCCTCAATCCTTCGCGAACCTCCCGAAGGTTCAAGCGAGTTGGGGGGGGTGAAAAGTTGTCTGGGGGGACGGCAGCGAGCCCACAAAGACTCGATTACACGAAACCCACACGTCTTGGGAGGAGGAGAAGCTCGATCCCCGTCCTAGGTAAAGAAACGGAAACACCGTAGGTGCAGAACGGGCAGATGTTTCTGCGGGGCAGGAGCTTGGCTGGGCTCGCACAAAAGCTCTCTCGTGGCCAAGGCTTCGGCTCCGGGCCGCTGCTTTAGAAAGACCACGGGCGCTTTCGATTTTATTCCTCCGGCCCTCCCTTCCTTTCAGAGGCCGGATTTCTGTTTACTCGGAGTTAAGAATCCTGCCTCCCTCGGGCACCCAGGGCGGCTGTCGGGACCCTCTGTCCGCTCGCGCCTGCTTGCTGTCCTTGTTGTTGTTGTTGTTGTTGTTATTATTATTATTATTATTATTATTACAGTATTGTATGCTTTTCCTTGTGAAGTCGGCCGTGGCTCCGTTGACTGTGGGGTTAACCCGAAGGCTCGGGTCTCCAGCGGGGAGAAAACCCGAGCAGGATGCTCAGTGTCTGCCTGGGCAGGAGCTGGGAGTCGGATAGCGGGGGAATCGCAGTTTCCCGAGGACCCATCCTGGCCACTTTGTCTGTTGTTCGGGTTTTCCTTTCTGCTTTTGTGCGTGAAGCTCTGCCCTCCGCCCAGCAGCAGGAAGCGGTTTAAATCCAGCTCCCCGGGGGCCCTGCGAGAAGTCGCTGCTGTGGGGCGATTTCGGGCTCTCGGAAGGTGAGGGCCCGGACTCCGGCGTGATCCGGGGAGGAGATCGGGCCCTCGGCCCCCAGCACGTCCCCGGCCCCGTAGGATGAGGAAGTCGCTGCATTCCCCGGCTGCCGATCCTGGCCGCCGTCCACCCTGCCCTCCGGGTTTGTGCGGCCCGAGGTCCACCCGCCCGCCCCACGTCCCTGACTCACACTGTCAGGTGCAACTCATTAAAGCCGGGGACTCCGGAGACGCCCCCTCCCTGCCAGTCCCCCTGCTCTGCATTCCTGCTCCCTCCTGCGGTTCACAGCCGCAGGGGTTGCTGAAAAGGGAACTCGGGGCCAGGGTGGTGGCTTGTGCTCGTCATAGGCTGAGAGGCTGAGGCAGGCGGATCTCCAGCCACCAGCCGACCCCTGGCAACTTAGCAACTTGGGGAGACGCTGTGTGAAGATGGCGTTGAAGGGCAGGCCTGGGGGTGCAGGTCCGCGGAAGAACCTGGGGTTCGAAAAACACAGGAGGCCCCCAAAGGTAGGTAGGGGCGCAGAACGGCCGCGGGACGAGGTGCTGACCTGG